AGCAATTGTCCACCTTGCCTCCCCTGGAAGGAGCTTGAGCCTCTATTCCTGTGACTCACTGTTACATTCTTTAAGACAAATCTAGGTTTGGCCTTGAATGAGTTTCATTTTATCTTCAATTTTAACTTTAAATATTTGTCAAATGTTAACTACAAGTGGCCGTGAGTGCTGTGCTACACGATGACACATATGATCAAGTAGTTAATTCAAGCAGAATCCACGGTCCACGGTACATCTTCATGTGGATGGATGTGGAGAGCAATTCTGATTTCACCAAATTAACAACACTGAAGAAACATCTTTCTCCTAAATGAATGCAGTCAACAAGAAATACATGCGAGTTAGCACTGAACGCTGCATGTACATCAATAAATATATAGTTTTTCTCCTTTCAAAAAATTATACTATGAAGAGATTTGCTGCCTCGTGGTTCCCGTAGCAAACATTTGTCTTCTCAGTGAAAATGCACACTGATGACGCTGAACGTTTAACGGAACAGTCCTGATCCTGCTGGTTGTTACCCCAGATTTTCTAGTTGCCTTCCCACTATCTCAGCACAGTTTGAAAATATATGTTAATTGCTATTTACTATTTTTTAAAACTTGATTGAAATTGGCCCATAACAAAAAAAGTGCTAGTACATAATATTTTCCTCTGAAATAGATGTGAGAAATGTAATTTTATAACAGCATTAGTTGTCTTGGTTCAGTTCTAAAAAATTTCACGTCAGTTTCATGTTGTGATTAATAAAAGCATTTTTTTCTCTTAAAAAAAAATTATACTATGAAAAAATGCCAATCTTTCTAATTACTTATAAGGAATAATTCTATACTTAAATTCTATTTTGAATATTTATAGCAAACTCATGCAAACTTTGTAAAACACCTTATTCTTCTTAGTGTGTTGCACTCAGGTTTTACAAATAATTTCCTTGTATAGTAAATTTTGTTCTATGCAATACTGAGGGTTGAGTCTTGCTTGTCACACTAAGCTCTGTTCCCAAACCATTTTCACTATTTTGAGACAGGATTTTCATACATCAGGAAGCTGCACAGAGTGGGTGTCAGCTTGAAGCCTCAGTGTCCCTCTGAGCTGGGATTCCAGGAGCACATTGTGAACCTGGCTTCTAGTGCTATGTTTTAGAAGAATCTGTTTTGTCAAACTTTTCAGCTCAGGATATAGTTAAAATTTTATTTCACCTATTTTGAAATTGCATAGGAAACAATCTACAATTTCATCTTTACTTTTAGCATGGACACTTCAGGTTATTGTATTTTAATTTTAAATATTAAAGTATGTCTTCTGTGAACACCCTTGTGATGAATTTCAAATCACATTCAAGAACTTGTGTTTGGTTTTCTTAGCTTATTAATGTTGCTGCTGCTTGTTTCCTAAAATGGATTTACTTTATCATTCTTTTATGAGTAATACATATTTCATTGATCTTATGATAGAAACATATCTGCTGAATGCTTTTATTTATACTGACATTATATTATTAGTTCCTAATTCCAAATTGCTTTCTATATTTTATTTTTTCTTGTATTACCTTTTTTATTTTTTATTCATTTTAGTGAGAAAACATAAAATAGCAATGAAACTTTCAAAACAGGTTAGTAGGACAGTTACAATAGCTGATACATTGCATACTGTTGTCTTTGTAGTAGTTGTTCAGAGGACAAGATGAAGACATGATATCTTGTCTAAAACAATATTGGTACAAACCTTTCTTCTCAATGAACGAATCTGTATTTTAAAACTATATCTTCTGTTCCTTTCCTTTTTTGAGGGGGCAGGGGCAGGGAGATAGCTGGGCCCAGGGAGATAGTTCAGTAGAATAAAAGCTTGCCTGGCAAGCATGGAGTCCTGAGTTCAATCCCCTGTACAAAAAAAAAAAAAAAAAAAAAAAAAAAAAAAAAAAAAAAAAAAAAAAAAACTTTGCAAATATAAAATGAGAAGCAGTATACACAGAAAGTAAATGTCCATGAATGAAGACTTTCAACAATTCTGTCTGAAGGAAAGTATTATTCATTTAGAAATTATAGATTTTAGAATTAAATGCACAAGGGTAATTCATGAGACCCATACAGAAGACACATTCCTATACTAAACTTCATATATTTTTGGTAGTTTTTAGAGCATTTTCTTTTAGTTTATTAGTCCATGGGGGTGGCACATGATGTCCACATTCTTCGTGTGGAGAAGAGACATAGACATAACACAGTCCAGCTCCTTCCTTTCAAGCTTCATCTTCTCTCCTTCCCTGGCCCCTCCACTGCTTGATCACCTTTTGCTTTGACAAAGATCTCGCTTCTTCTTATATTCTGTCATTTATTTTGCTCTTTTGACTCTAGGTCTCTGACACAAGAGAAGCCACGTACAAAGGCAGAGTAGTACAATCACTGTGCAAATCAGTATACAGAATCCTTAGAATCTGAAATGAGAATACATAGTTTGAGCTTGAGATATAGGCCAATGGCAGAGTACTGTTCAAGTGTGTGGGAGAGCCAGCTTTTGTTTTATATCACTACATAAACAGTAAGAATATGTGTTTTATTACTCACATAGCAAAAGATGTGACTGCCTACAACCTTATTAATCAGGAATCCACATGTAAGACAATTATAAATTATAAAAGGAGCCAGATAGCTCAGCCTGCTTAGAAAGAGCACAGCAGCCAGGATTTGATCCCTGACATGCCTGTGAGCCCCCCCCCCCGGGGGGCATGCTGAGACAATGAAAGAGACTGGGCGTAGTGGCGCTTGCCTATAATCCCAGTGCTTGGGAGGCTGAAAACAGGAGGATCATTACAAGTCTGATCTGCATAGTGAGACCCTGTAGATCCTGTACAAAAGAAAGAATGAAAGAGAAAGAAAGAAAGAAAGAAAGAAAGAAAGAAAGAAAGAAAGAAAGAAAGAAAGAAAGAAAGAAAGAAAGAAAGA